TTACATTGCTCTTGCTGAATCCCTAAGGGTGTAATTCTTTCATTTTTTTCCCTTGGAGTAGCCTGTGGACCTGAACTGTTTAACCTCTCAGCATCTGTGTGCTTAACCACTGTACCACCAGGGCTCAACTACACTTGCTTAGGAAAATATCAGTACCTGGCTATTTCATAATTACCGAGTTTTTAAATAGTGTATATCAAGGGGAGAAACAAAGGCATTTATACTTTTTTAGTCCTAAAGTAAAATCATATATATGCTGGTTGCTGTCCCATCAGAAAATGGTAATGGGGAGAAATGGCAGATCCAATGCTAGTGATACGGCAGAGATTTCCCCTTTCAGGTGTATTAAAAAACCACCAGGTCATTACTTAATGCATTTATCCACTTGGGTCGGTAACAGTACACACTACGTAAATGCATTTATGTACACACTGTGTACACACTACATAATGCATTTATCCACTCGGGTCGATAACAGTACACACTACATGTTAAGATATTTTACTATCAGACTTACTCATCTAGTTTCAAATAAATTACTTTTACCTATGTACTTACTATTTCCATTATTGGAAGTTTATTATCTGTCTTTATCTAGACAATTGTTTTATTAGTAATAAAACTCAAACTATTGTTCCAACAGTTATATAAAAATAGCCCATTCAGGCTGTATTTTGGTAGATTGAATTTATTACTGAAAATAGAGTATAATGTTGGCATGGGAGTGGAGAGATATTTGAAAAATGTACATAGACTTCTCTTTCTAAGAGGATTTTCCAAAAAGAAATGATCTTAAATTATTGTGGATAATACTCTTATACAGCTGATGTAAATAGACAACTGTGAACTTGACCGACATTATTTAGGCTAAAAATATATATATATTTTTTTTTGCTGGGGAGTCCGCGGCTAAAAATATTTTTATTGAAATTTGGGACCCAAGTAAAAATACAGGTAATGTTGTATAACTTTGGGTTCTGACAGTCAATAGAAATTGGCAAGCACAACCAGGTAAAATTTCTATCATTTTGCAGTGGGTTGTTGAATTATAATTCATTGGTATTAATCTACTACTTTTTTAAAGTCTAATATTTAAAAATTTATGTATTTGAATGTCTAGATGTAATGACAAACGAATAAGTTATTTTTTAGCATGTTTATATCTCTGGGTTTTGAACTATATAGCTCAAATGTACAGAGCTGAAACATACAGTATTTTACTAAGGATTCTTTATAATTAGTATAGGGTGTTTGTTTTTGAAAAACTTTGAAGGGCATCTCTTCTCATTATAGGAAATGCATTAAGAGCTATGTTCTGGGTGTTTATTTGTGGTTATCTTTATATTCAAAATGATGTAAATTTTCTTGGAGGTTGGAATGTTTGCATCGTATTTTTAAAACCACTAACAGTGTTGGAGGCCAGATTTTTCTACCAACAAGAGCTCACTCCACACGTCTTGGTGCTCACTTAGAGCTTTACTTTTAGGTATTCTTTGAAAACATGGTATTGTTTGTTTTGTCAGGCACTGAAAACCAAGTATTTTAGTAATCGCCCAGGGCCTACCCCTGGGTGTCAGCTGCCAAGACCAAACTGTCCAGTGGAAGCTTTAAAAGAGCAGCCAAACCCAGCTGTGGCAACAAAGCGGAAAAGGACGGAGTCCTTGGAGCAAGGTAAACAAAACTGTGTTGTAAGAAATGAGAGAGTTCAGAAACAAGTTACTATGTGTACTCGAGTATAAGCCGACGGGAATATCAGCCGAGGCACCTAATTTTACCACAAACACTGCACTAAAAATGTGCTGGAGAACTCGGCTTATTCACGAGTATATACGGTTACTAACATACAAGCTATAACTGAAGGGCAGCTAAGAAATTAGAGTTACTCGTTCTTTAAAAATTTTAGTTGTATACAGTAAGTAGAACATATTGAGCTTCCAGTGGGAACACTTTCATCATACAGGCTTAGGCTCTTCAGAATACGAGGAGGTGCCCCCCCAAAAAAAAACAAAAACAAAAAAAATCCTGCATTTTTCCCGCTAGGTGAGCATAGAGCAACTTGCTCTTGGTGCACCCGTGCCGTCACCTGGGAAGCTTCTCTCTGATCACAGTGAATTTTTTTGTAAAAGCAGTTTCTCCCAAACCTTGCTTTTTGTGTGTGATGGCTGATTTAAGAGAACAGCATGTGGCCGTGAAATTTTGTTTGCTGCTC